TCTTCCCAACTCTTTTTTTTTTTTTTTGTAATCTTCCCAAATCTAAAATTGATTCAGGCATTGACTAAAACTCTCAAAAATAAGCATGGAGGATAATAGTTGAGGTCTTATTCTTAACATTCCTCTTTTATAATATTCTCTATCACAATTCCGTCACCATAAATAGCTTTCAAAACATTGTCTCTTAATATGATTCTGGATTAAAGCTAAAGAAATGACATCAAAATGCAGCCCAGTTAAAACAATTAGTTAACATTGTATGGGGACCTACATTACATGTACGTACTTCTCTGATGATCCAGCTTGCTTCTGAGGATAAAATCTAGAATGCAGAGAAATGGAGGAATTATCTCTCACGTCAGACTAAAAAACAGATTCAGGGCACCTGGGTGGCTAAGTTGATTAAGCAGCTGACTCTTGATTTCAGTTCAGGTCATGATCTCAGGGTTGTGAGATGGAGTGAGCCTTGTGTGGGGCTCTATGCTCAGCAGGGAGTCGCTTGAGATTCTCCCTTTCCCTTCGCCCCTCCCCCTTAACTAAGTAAGTAAGTAAATAAATAAATAAATCATTATAAGAGAAAAGATTTGATGGGGAGCCCTGGGTGCCCCAGCGGTTTAACGCCGCCTTCAGCCCAGGGCGTGATCCTGGAGACCGGGATCAAGTCCCACGTCGGGCTCCCTGCATAGAGCCTGCTTCTCCCTCTGCCTCTCTCTCTTTCTCTCTCTCATGAATCAATAAATAAAACCTTAAAAAAAAAAAAAGATTTGGGATGCCTGGGTGGCTCAGTGGTTGAGCATCTGCCTTTGACTCAGGGCATGATCCTGGGGTCCTGGAATTGAGTTCCACATCAGGCTTCCCACATGGAGCCTGCTTCTCCCTCTGCCTATGTCTCTGCCTCTCTCTGTGTGTCTCTCATGAATAAATAAATAAAATATTTTTTAAAAAAGATTCAACAGATTGTATTCTAATTAAGAGTCTCAAATGTTTAAGTGCCCCTGTATTTTTGATTAAGGGCAAGTCAAAAACAAACCAGCAGATGTTAAGTTTGAAATTTTTTTTTAAAGATTTTTATTTATTTATTCATTCATGAGGGACACACAGAAAGAGAGAGGCAGAGACAGAGCAGGCTCCATGCAGGGAGCCTGATGTGGGACTGGATCCTGGGATTCCAGGATCACACCCTGGGCCAAAGGCAGGTGCTAAACCGCTGAGCCACCCAGGAATCCCAAAGTTTGAAATGTTTTTATGGAACTCAAAATGCTGACCAAAACTTTCAGCCTCCTCTTTTTACCCTACTCTGAGTTGTCTTGGAAGTGTGATTGAAGGACTATCAGCAGGTAAAAGAAGGGCTTCCTCCTATTTATTTATTTATTTATTTGTTTGTTTATTTATTTATTTATTTTAAATTTTAAATGTTTTTTAAAGATTTTATTTATTCATGAGAGGCACAGAGAGAAAGAGAGGTAGAGACTTAGGCAGAGGGAGAAGCAGGCTCCCTGCAAGGAGCCCGATGTAGGACTCAATCCTGGATCCCAGGATCATGCCCAGAGCCAAAGACCGATGAGCCCAACTGATGAGCCCAACCGATGAGCCACCCAGGCGTCTCGCTTCCCCCCCACCTGCTTTTTTTTTTTTTTTAAGATTTTATTTATTTACTCATGAAAGACCCAGAGAGAGGCAGAGATATAGGCAGAAGGAGAAGTAGGCTCTCTGCAGGGAGCCTGATTTGGAACTTGATCCCAGGACCCCGGTATTGCATCCTGAGCCAAAGGCAGATGCTCAACCACTGAGCCACCCAGGTGCCCAAGAAGGTTTTCTCTTAAAAACACTTTCATTCAGTGTAATTCAATGATTGGTCAAAATTCTTACGTTTTTGGGTGAAAGAGATTATTTTATCTATTTATTTGTTTATTTATTTTTTAAAAAAATTTATTTTATCCATTCATGAAAGACAGAGAGAGAGAGAGAGAGAGAGAGAGAGAGAGAGAGAGGCAGAGACACAGGCAGAGGGAGAAGCAGGCTCCATGCAGGGAGCCTGACATGGGACTCGATCCTGGGTCTCCCTCTGCCTGTGTCTCTGCCTCTCTCTCTGCATCTCTCATGAATATATAAAATCTTTTTTAAAAATGTACATAGAGTAGTCAAATTGGAGAGAAAGAAGATAGAATAGAGTTTGCCAGGAGCTAGGTCGGGGTGGGGGAGGGGAAGGAAGAAATGGGGATTTCTTGTTTAATGGGTTTAGAGTTTCAGTTCTTCAAGATGTAGAAAGTTCTTGGAATGCCTGAGTGGCTCAGTTGGCAAGCACCTGACTCTTGATTTTGGTTCAAGTCATGATCTTAGGGTCCTAGGATTGAGCCCTATGTCAGGCTCCATGTTTAGTGGGGAGTCTGCCTGAGGATTCTCTCCCTCTCCCTGTGTCCCACCCCCTGTGCTCATTCTCTCTCTCAAATTAATTAATTAATTAAATCCTTAAAAAAGGACGTAAGAAAGTTCTAGAAATGGATGGCGATGATGGTAGCACAACATTATGAATGTAAGTAGTACAGCTGAAGTGCACACTTAAAAATAGTTAAGATGGAAAATCTATATTACATGTATTTTACCACAATTAAAAAAATTAGGGGGAGCCTGTCTTTTAAAGATAGACTTTTGGGACACCTGGGTGGCTTAATGGTTGAGCGTCTGCCTTTGGCTCAGGACGTGATCCCTGGTCCAGGGATTGAGTCTTGCATTGGGCTCCCTGCATGGAGCCCACTTCTCCCTCTGCCTGCATCTCTGCCTCTTTCTCTCTGTGTCTCTCATGAATAAATAACTATAATCTTTTTTTTTTAAATTTTTTATTTATTTATGACAGTCACAGAGAGAGAGAGAGAGAGAGAGAGGCAGAGACACAGGCAGAGGGAGAAGCAGGCTCCATGCACCGGGAGCCCGACGTGGGATTCGATCCCGGGTCTCCAGGATCGCGCCCCGGGCCAAAGACAGGCGCCAAACCACTGCGCCACCCAGGGATCCCAATAACTATAATCTTTAAAAAAAAAAAGATAGATTTTATGCTTAGGAAAATTTATGAAGATCACCTTATTCCTAGGATACATTATCTTCAAACTTTGCATAATAGATTGTGTTTTTTGTAATGTTTTAAAGTTTTTATGTACATAATTTCATCTAAGGTATTGAAATAGGCAGAAATGATTAGTGAAATGTCATTAAGGGAATATATTAATAATGACATTGAAGAGATCCTTTGTATTATACTTCAACTAGAAATACCTAAGGAACTTTATTTTTTTTACAAAAAAATATTTTAAGCTTTATTTTGGAAGGAAAGTATTTTATATTACCTAAAGGAAAATTATTTTTATCAACTTTATTTATTTATTTATTATCAACTTTAAATTTGAAAACTAATCAGAAAATCTGTGAAATGTTGGAACGTTCAACTTTTGTTTTTCAAAGCTATTTTAAAGCCAGAGGGACCAACTTTCTTGGTTTAGGGGAGCATGGCTGGCTCAGTCAGTAGAACAGGGACTCTATCTTGGGGTTGTGAATTTGAGCCCCGCGTTGGATGTAGATTATTTAAAAATAAAATCCTTAAAAAAAATCAAATTTTTTGGTCTAAATTAATACGGTCATCTTTTAATTCAGCATTTATTGGCTTGTAAAAAATGAAAACGTAAATGGTAGATCCATCTCTTTCTAAAACTTGTCAATGAGGGATCCCTGGGTCGCTCAGTGGTTGAGCATCTGCTTTTGCCCATGGTGTGATCTTGGAGTCCTGGGATCGAGGACTACATCGGGCTCCCTGCGTGGAGCCAGCTTCCTCCCTCTGCGTGTCTCTGCCTCTCTCTCTCTCTCTCTCTCTCTCTGTGTGTGTCTCTCATGAATAAATAAATAAAATCTTTAAAAAATAAAGAAAAACTTGTCAATGGTACAAAACAGTGATAATAAATAATTGAAACAGCACTGGAAATATTCTGAATGTGAGAGGTATGGGGTGTCCTATTTGGATTCAGTGTTTTAGATGAAATGTTGAGGTTCTGCTCCAAATATTGGTGGCAGGAGAAATTAGTAGATTTTAAAGCATCTTGTCTCATTTTCTCCTTCAGAGTTCTTCCCCTTTGTTCTCTGTTCTATGCCACAGGCCAAGACCTTTTTACTACATGATAATAGCTTGTGGCCAGCTCTTATAGTTCTCTTAATTTAGAGAATATGTCTTTTGAGGATAACAGGCCTCCTCTTGAGCTGCAGTTTACATGAAGTTGTGTAGATAAGGGACCTTGAATATCAATTTTCGAAGACATTATCACTGAGACAACTTCTTATGGTTCTTTTTTTTTTAAGATTTTCTATTTGTTTATGAGAGATGTAGAGAGGGGCAGAGACACAGGCAGAGAGAAGAGAAGGAGGCTTCCTGCTGGGGGCTCGATATGGAACTCGATCCCAGAACTTTGAAATCACGACCTGAGCCAAAGGCAGATGCTCAAACCACTGAGCCAACCAGGCGTCCCCATGGGTTCTTTTACTATTATTACACCAAAAACGTTTCAGATATTTCCTTCCTAGTTTCCCAAACAGAAAATGAGGAGGACTGGTTAATGATTTGTTTTTTAAAGATTTTATTTATTTATTTGAGAGTCAGAGAAAGCACAAGCAGAGGGGCAGAGAGAGAGAGGGAGAAATAGGCTCCCTGCTGAACAGGGAGCTGGACTGGAGGCTCGATCCCAGGACCCTGGGATCTTGATTCCATGACCTGAGCTGAAGACAGACACTTAACCAACTGAGCCACCCAGGTGCCCCTGGATTAATGATTTTATATTCAGACTGACCTAAGTTGAGTTCATAGCTCCTCTCTCGTGGTGGTCTAACCTACCCAATCTCAGCTTCCTCATCTTTAAACATCTCCGAGCCCAGTAGACTTGGTAATGAGTTTTGATTTGCATTTTCTGACTTAGATAGGTAAAATGCTACCCATATTCTAATGGCTTCTCTCTCCCTCATAGCTTCACAACCCCTGGATCAAGAAGTCTTATTAAAAGTTAAAACCGAAATTGAAGAAGAGCTAGAATCCCTGGACAAAGAAATTTCTGAAGGTCTGTTTATTCTTATTTTTCTGGTTAATTAGTAGACTTAGAGTTTGATGTGGTTTACTGTTGGTTTGGTATTTACAGTAGAGCTTTTTCAACATTATGTAGCTTTATTGGTATAGGATTATAAGGGTGCAACCACAAGGTATCCTTTCTCTTTCCTGAAGGATAGGTTTATAAATGTTTCCAGACTATACCTGATGGTCTTTTCCTGGTGTTAATAGACTAAGCAATCATGTTAAGGTAGTTTCCATTTCATGTTGTTTAATTTATATTGGTATTTTTAAAAATTAATATTCACATTAAAGGGGAACTGTAACTAAGTGCTTCCATTTTTGCATGTATGTATGCTATGGATAGCTGTAAGAGTAATACACATGGAACTTTGTAGGCATGTCTTTTATACTTAATATTACACCATAAACCTTAAACACAGTTATCATTCTCTGTGCCTGGCTGACTCAGTTGGTAGAGCATTTGACTCTTGATCTCAGGGTCGTGAGTTGAAGCCCCATGTTGGGTGTAGAGCTTACTTAAAAAAAAAAACAATAATAAAATAAGTACTTAAAAAAACAGTTATCATTCTATTAGCTTCATGAAATTCCATATATTGAATGAATATTTATTCAATCATTCCCTTATAATTGCAGGGAGCATTTGGGTTTTCCTTATTTTGCTTTCCATAATTAATTATATTGAATATCTTGCCCAATGTTTTTCTTGTACAGCTTTATATCAAGATGTATTTCGCACATTTACCCATTTAAAGTGTACAGTTGAGGGACACCTGGGTGGCTCAGTGGTTGAGCGTCTGCCTTTGGCTCAGGGTGTGATCCTGGAGTCCTGGGATTGAGTCCCACATCGGGCTCCCTGCATGGAGCTGCTGCTCCCTCTGCCTGTGTCTCTGCCTCTCTCTGTGTGTCTTTCATGAATAAATAAAAACAAAAATCTATAAAAAAAAATAAAGTATACATTTGAGTGGTTTTTGGTATATTCACAGAATTGTGTAATCGTCACCACAATCGACATTTAGAACATTTTTAACATCCCAAGAAGAGATGCTGTACGTGTTAGCAGTCACTTCCCATTTCTGCTCTTACCACCCTTGTCCTCATCCCTGTTCATGGCAGCCACTAATCTAACTTTCTGTCTCTGTGTTTGCCTTTATGGATATGTATGTAAGTGGAATCATACACTGTGTGGTCTTTGCTGGTTGGCTTATTTCACTCAGCATGGTGTTTTCAAGGATCATCCATGTGGTAACATGTGTCAGTACTTGATTCCATTTTACAGTGAAAGAATAATCCAGTGTGAATATACCATATTTTGTTTATCCATTCAAATGGATAAACAAAGTTGATGGACATTCAGGTTGTTTCTACTTTTTGACTGTTATGTATAATGCTGAGAATATTTTTTTTTCTTTTTTTAAGGTTTTATTTATTTGTCAGAGAGAGAGAGAAAGTACAAGCAGAGGCAGAGGGAGAAGGAGAAGCAGACTCCTCCCTGAGCAAGGAGCCCAATGGGGGACTCAGTCTTTGAACCTCAGGATCATGACCTGAGCTAAAGGCAGACACTAAACTGACTGAGCCACTCAGTCACCGCAACCTTTGTCCACTTTTGATAACAGTGCTTATACATAGTAAAATGAGCAGAAGGCAGAAATGAAAAAAAAGCAACAAAGCATCACATGCAATCACTTATTAAACCCCCGTATTATCTTAAACTGATTATTAAAATGGATGCTCTCAAGTTTGCTCACAAAATTATTGTGAACTTTGTAGCCATTTGCATCTTTCTTGGAGGAAAATACTTTATAAAGAAATACACACTTCAGTAAAATTTGTAGCCTTCTAGGTGCAAACTTTAGATTAATGCAGTGAATACATTATGGACGTTATTAGTAACTCTTGGGTGGGTGCTAGCTGCTTGCTTTACTAGGATTCTGTGCCCTACATCTCACTTGTACCTTGGAACAATGATGACTCTGCCTGTTTTTCTCCCAGTTAGTGTATGGCACTATAACATGGAGTAAGGAAGCAGATGAGAAGCTGTAGTTTGAGCTGAGGAGAGAAGCTGTGGTTGCCTCTTTCATAGACAACTTGTATACTTGTATCACCTTCATAGTTTTAAATTTTATCCATGTACAGGAATATTAAGTTTGAAAGTTCATTTTTTAAAAAAATATTTTACTTATTTATTCATGAGAAACACAGAGAGAGAGGCAGAGACACAGGCAGAGGGAGAGAAGCAGGCTCCATGCAGGGAGCCCAATGTGGGACTCGATCCCAGGACTCTAGGATCGTGCCCTGGGCCAAAGGCAGATGCTCAACCACTGAGCCACCCAGGTGTCCCTGAAAGTTCATTTTAAAGATTTATTTATTCACGAGAGATAGAGAGAGAGAGGCAGAGACACAGGCAGAGGGAGAAGCAGGCTCCATGCACCGGGAGCCCGACGTGGGATTCGATCCCGGGTCTCCAGGATCGCGCCCTGGGCCAAAGGCAGGCGCCAAACCGCTGCGTCACCCAGGGATCCCTGAAAGTTCATTTTAAAGAGGGGCGCTTGGGTGGCTCAGTTAAGCATCTGCCTTCAGCTCAGGTCATGATCCTGGGGTCCTGGGATTGAGTCCCACATCAGGCTCCCCGCTGAGCAAGGAGTCTGTTTCTCCCTCTTCCTTTGTCCCTCCACTTGCTCATGTACCTGCTTGCTCTCTCTCTCAAATAAATAAAATCTTTAAAAAAAAAGATAAAAAGGGATTGAATTATGGAATTGTTGAATCATGTGTTGTATACCTAAAATTAATGTAATACTATGTTACCTATATTGGAATTAAAATGAAAAACTTTTATTTTTGTTTAAGATTTTATTTGAGAGAGAGCACAAGGGGGGGTGAGGGGAACTTAATAAAAAGCTTTTAAAAAAAGGGAATGAGGGAACCCTGGGTGGCGCAGTGGTTTGGCGCCTGCCTTTGGCCCAGGGCGCGATCCTGGAGACCTGGGATCGAATTCCACGTCGGGCTCCCGGTGCATGGAGCCTGCTTCTCCCTCTGCCTGTGTCTCTGCCTCTCTCTCTCTCTGTATGACTATCGTAAATTAAAAAAAATAAATAAATAAAAATAAAAAAGGGAATGAAAGTAATTGACTCATCCTGTCAGATGGAATAAGCTGATTAGAATCTGGTTGAAGAAGTGCCATATCTATAAAGGTAAAAATGAAATCTTAAAAAAAAAAATACTAAGAGTGGGATAATAGAGCCAAGAGTTGCTTTCCATATATCATTCTTGCATGAAATTGGTATGTAGTAACATACTAAATTGGCTTGTGTATTTTATTTTTTTATCATTTTTTATTTCTTTTTTTTTTTTAAAGATTTTATTTATTCATGAGAGATACAGAGAGAGAGGCAGAGACACAGGCTGAGGGAGAAGCTGGCTCCCTGTGGGAAGCCCGATGTGGGACTTGATCCCTGGACCCCTGGATCACGACCTGAGCGGAAGGTAGTTCTTCAACCACTGAGCCCTTGCTTGTGTATTTTTTAAAAAATATTTTTGAGGGAGAGACAGCAGTGAGCACAAGTGGGGAGGAGGGGCAGAGGAGGAGGGAGAAGTAGACTCCTCACTGAGCAGGGAGCCCCTTGCAGGGCTTGATCCCAGGACCCTGGGATCATGACCTGAACTGAAGGCAGACACCCAACCAGCTGAACTACCCATGTGTCCCTGTGTATTTTTTTTAAAGATTTAATTTATTTTTTATTTTATTATTTTTTTTAAAGATTTATTTATTCATGAGAGACACACAGAGAGAGGCAGAGACATAGGCAGAAGGAGAAGCAGGCTCCTTGTGGGCAGCCCGATGTGGGACTTGATCCCTGGACCAAGGATCACGCCCTGAGCCAAAGGCATATCCTCAATCACTTAGCACCCAGGCGTCCAAAGATTTAGTTTATTTGTGTGAGAGAGAGAACAAGAGCAAGAGCACATGTAAGTGGGGGGAGGGGCAGAGGGAGACAGAGATTCCACATTGATCATGGAGCCTGACACCCACAGGCTCTATCCCATGACCCTGAGATCATAACCTAAGCCAAAATCAAGAGTTGGATTCTTAGAAAAAAAAAAAAAAGAGTTGGATACTTAATCGACTGAGCGACCCAGGCGCCCCTTGGCTTGTATATTTTAGCATGTCAGTTTTGTCTTTTCGTTCTCCTAAAACTAAGGTTTTCCATAAAAATCTTTCTTTAAAAAAAAAAAAAATCTCTAAACTAGGACCTATTAAGCATTGTGTTCCAGGAAAGATTAATATCTCATAATGAATGTCTTACCTTTTTAAGTGGCTTATAAATGTTGGTTATAATAGTAGATGTCTTAATCCCCTGAGTTTTTTTTAAATACCTTTTTTTTCCTAAAGATTTTATATATTCATGAGAGATACAGAGAGAGACAGAGATATAGGCTGAGGGAGAAGCAGGCTTCCCACAGCGAACCCGATGTGGGATTTGACCCCCAGACTGGGATCATGCCCTGAATCAAGGGCAGCTGCTCAACCACTGAGCCACTCAAGCATCCCGATCCCCTGAGTTTTAATAGCACAACTTTTTTCCCCAAAAATTTTAAGTTTTTTCCCCCGGTAATCTCTATACTCCCAGTGTGGGGTTTGAAATCATGACCCTGAGATCAAGATCCCATGTTCTTCCAACTGAGGCAGCCAAGTGTCCCTGTAGCACAATTCTTGATATTATTTATTAAAATAGGTTTTTCTTTTACCCTATCTTCAGCTTTCACCAGCACAGGCTTTGACCGTCATACTTCTCCTGTGTTCAGCCCTGCCAACCCAGAAAGCTCAGTGGAAGACTGCTTGGCTCATCTTGGAGAAAAAGTATCACAGGAACTGAAAGAGCCTCTGCAAAAGGCATTGCAAATGCTCCTCAGCCAGTGAGTTACTACCATTGCTGAGTGGGAGCATGATTCTTTAAGTAGTCTCTGGATTTCTCTTGCAGCACTGGGCTGATTAAGGCTTTGTTTTAGGTGAACGATGTCACTTCTCACTTTACTTTTTCTTTCTTTGCTTTTTGTTTGTATTTGAGTGACAGCTTTTACATCAAAGTGGTGATTTAACAGTTCCGACATGGATTTGATCATTTCTGTTTACTTGTTGAACTCTTTGGTTTCAGCAGCTGTTTTCACTGCTTTGTAAATGTAAATAGGAGCTATTTCACTTGTTCTGACCACTTTTTACTATCATTCTGTCTAGGGGCCAACATAAATATAATGGTTATGGTTTTATGCATTGCAATGTGCAGTTAACATCATGTCAGCATTTTAGGTATCTCACATGTTGCTAAACTTTGTGATTGCACATCTGTCTGGAATTGCTGCCACATTCGTATAGTGGGACCTTCTCTACTAACTATGGTTTTGACTGTTCAAGCTAAAGGCAAGAAGCTCGAAGTGAAAGCACATTAAAATAGAACCAAGTCATTTAATGTAAATCATAAAAATTTTTTTCCTCTAAATCTTTACTTAGAATCATTAAGGAATTGGTATGAATTAGAAAAAAATTTGTTTTAATGAAGAATGACATCTAAAACAGCATGAAGACTGTTTTCTTCACTTTAAAGGGTCAGATGCCAAATTACTGGTGTAGGTACAGGTAATTCCTTACTTTCATATCATATGTAACCGTTTGTTAGAGGGAAGAAGTTTGAGTTTAAGGAGAATTTGGTTTGTTTCTATGTGTCCTGGTGACATTAGCAAATATAAAAATCCAAATTATGTATAGGATACTGAAATGAAAATCGTATTTGGACTTTCTTAACTGTATACATAGGAAAGTTTAAATGAATCTGAAGAGATTACGAGTGTCTAAAAATAAAGCTTAAATAGGAAATTTGGATGTACAGCAGTGGTTTTTAGTGTTCTGTGAAGCATAGGGGACCCGAGATGGTGAGGGACAGGATGAGTGGGTGCCATGCTTCTTGCATCAGAAAAGCTATATTTTCATATATATATATATATATATATATATTTTAATGATGTTCCATTAAGATTTGAAGAAACCTACTGTTTTGCCAAAAGAAAAAAAACTTGTAAGAGCTATTGGGACTGGAAGTAAAATAACTGAGAAGTAGAAACCAAATATTCTGTTTCCAATTTTGGTACAAACTATTTGTGGTTTTAAGCAAACCATTTCATTTGATATCTGAATTTCCCCATCTATTAATTTTAACTTTACTGGGATATTATAAGCTCTCTGAAGAACAGTATCATTTAGGTTATTAGGTGTTTTTGGGCATCCTTTTAGTAATTTATAGGAAAAATTGATATCTTTTCACTGAAAAGTAAATTATATTTAAAAATCTATAGTCGGGTGACTACTTGGTGGTTTTTTTCCTCCTAGACCCTCAATGCTGAGATAATTATTTCTTTTTTAAATTTTTTATTTATTTATTTAAAGGTTTAATTTTTAAGTAATTTCTATACCCAGCGCAGAGCTTGAACTTTTAACCCTGAGATCAAGAGTCCTGTATTCCACTGACTAAGCCAGCCAGGCATTCCTGACAAAATTATTTTTTAAATTGGTACCTCTGATTGTATATCACAGTCAGGCTTCTCTATGAATAAATTTTTTTCACAGTAATCTACATTTGAATGTTGTTAATAAGCTCTGTCACTAATACCTTAGAAATAAGTAACTGATGGTGAACTAGAAGTATTATACAGGTTGATAGGAATAGTTTGTAAGGTGGAAAATACCACCTACTCCTTCCAACAGTTTTGTTTAAGTGGTAAAATAATCCTGAACTCTTCATAGCCAAGCACTAGCAGTGTGAAGAAGCTCCCCCTGCCCCTTTTTCTTCTTTGCTATGTTCAGGTAGCTCATTAGATAGGGTTGATTTTTCTCCTACGCTTTTCTGTGTATTAGATTTCCTTTGAATGTGTTAGTCTGCTGGATCTTTTATGTACATGTATGTGTGTACATATAATGATTCAAATCATGTTTCATTCTGAAAGATGCTAAAGTACTTTAGCCTGATAGACAAACTACCAGTAAGGACTACTGTGACCCACAGCAGCATCACACATTTCAGGAGAGGAAGTGAAGGGACTGATAGACACAAGTAAACCTGAGGGAGGATATGGATAGGTAGACTGTGTAGTATCTGAAATTCAAGTTTTATGACTACCTTCTCCTATTGAGCCCATGACTTCTAAAAAATTCTAAGCTTACTTTAATGGTAATGTAATATCAGGAAGTTAGTATATAACATCTTATAAAAAAAGGTCATCCCACATACCTTACCTCCTTTCTGCATCACTGTGGTATTGATTTTACATTGACTTCTGTAAAAGAAGGATAATGTGTGTCATCAGAACTGGTTCCTGAAGTATGTAGACTACCACTACGCAAGAGATGAAATACAAGTCATGTATATGCAATTTAAAATCTTCTAACAACCACATTAAAAGTTAAAATTTTTAATATGTTTTATTCGGCCCAATATATTCAGAATATTATAGTTTTAACAGGTCCTCAGTATGAAAATATTAATGAGCTATTTTGCATTCTTTTTTCCTTACTAAGTCTTAGAAATCTAGTGTGTATGTCTACTTTCAGCATATCACTAGCCACATTTCAGATGATCACTAGCCGCATGTGGCATCGAGACATTATTGTGATATGTTACAGAATCCTAATTTAAAATAGGAGAAGTAAAAAAAATAAAATAAAATAAAATAGGAGTAGTGTGGCCTGTGGACCCAGATCTAGTTGGTTATGAATTCCTGCATTGCTGGTTGCCAGCTATGTAGATTTGGGATAGCTTCTTAGCTTTTCTTTTCTTTTTTTTATTTATTCATGAGAGACACAGAGAGAGAGGCAGAGACATAGGCAGAGAGAGAAGCAGGCTCCATGCAGGGAGCCCGATGTGGAACTCGATCCCGGGACTCCAGGATCATGCCCTGGGCCAAAGGCAGGCACTCAACCACTGAGCCACCTAGGCGTCCCAAACTCTTAGCTTTTCTGAGCTTCAATTTCCTAATGTGTAAAATGATAGTATGTGATATAAAGTATAAATATATAAAAATATAAAACTGAACAATAGGCCACCAATAAGTGGTAGCTATCCTCCATATTAAATAAATATTCATAGGCTGAAGAGATCACAGACCCAAGTCAGAGCAGAAAATGCCTTTGGAATGGATTTTAAAATCCTATAAAAGCAAGACTCCTCCCCCTTTTTTACATATATGTTAAGAGTTTGCCCACAAAAGTGAGGGATAAGTTTTATTAAATCTGATATTCAGGCTATTGATGCTTTCATATGCTACTAAGTATTTGTTGTTAAGACATGAAACCAAGTCTTATACGTAGTACCCAAAATCCTTCAATAAATTAGTGAGTGTTGTTGTCATCACTCAGTGGTTTTTTAGTTTTGGGTGTGACTAGAACTTAGTTGGAAATAATCAGAAAAGCTTATCTCTGCCCTCCAGGATTTTATGTCATAAGACTCCAAGTTAAACATAGAGCTCCGTTTACTGGCCTTATTTTAGCCCAACTCCTTAGATCTTCAGTTTAAGAGGTCTTTTGGTGACATGTTTCTTTAAGTTTTAAGTGTTTTAAATTTTTTGCCTTTTAAGAAAGTTAAAATTGTGCTTTTAATAAAGAGATCATTTTTGTTAACTAATCTTTTTTAATAACCCAAGTGTGTGTTTATCTGCAACATGGAAATCCTATTGGATAAGTTTCAAATACTTTAAGTTTATTTTAAAAGCATTATTTTCATTATTGTTATGTTATTAACTGCTTTCCCAAGCTGATAGCATGCCTCTCAGCCTATAGGGAGTGCTTGAAGTAAATGCATACCAAATGTTAAAAGCCACATCTCATACAAATCAATATACTGAATATTCTTTGGTACTTTAGCAAAAAAGTTCAACACAGAATAGTTACTGTAAAAAAAAAAAAGAATAGTTACTGTATTTTTATTCATCTGGAAATTTAGAATTTTCCTTCTTTGTGACCCAGACTCTTAAAAAAAAATCTCTACAGGCCAGTGACATATCAAGCATATCGGGAATGTACTCTGGAGACCACAGTTCATGCCAGCGGCTGGAATAAGGTATTAACCAAATTATATTTTCTCTTACAAGATTTTAGTGTGTTGATTAAAGTGCAGGAGAAATTGCTAACATCATGTAAGAAAAAACTATTAGAGCTCATTATTTAATGCATAACTCCAATTGTGTTAAGTGGATGTTTTTTTAAAGTGGTTTTTTGATTAATGATGTGAGATTATGGATGGCCCAGAAATATGTGTCCCATAGTATGCCATTCTTCCTTCCTTTTCTGTTCTGAATTCTCCATCATTTCTTCACTTCTCTGTATTAGACATGACATTTACCTCCAAATGGTTGTTTGCTACCCTGTGTGTATGTCTTGGGGTGAAAAAGAATAAGAGCTTCATTTGGGAGACTGCTTCTTCTGTTTTTTTCTCTCTCTCTCTTTTTTTTTTTTTTTTTTATGTTGTTGTTCTGGTTCTCTTAAATAAGTGAATACCATTTGTCTTTTATAGTTTACAAGGTATCTCATGTCACATCTCATTGGATCATTACAACCATCCTTTGCAGAAGACAGAATGGATTTTATAGCTTTTGTTTTGTTATTTAGTTAGATCAAGTGAGAAAAAAGTTAAGTCAATTGTCCTGGACTAGGAAATGTTGGAACCAACACTAGATGTTCCTGACTAGGAAATGTTGGAACCAACACTAGAGCTGAGAACTCAGGTCTTCTGATTCCAGCTTTAGTTTTTTTTCCACTGTATCATACTGTTTATCCGTGATCTCAGACTGTATTATCCACTTATCAACTTGAAAAGGTGGAAAGTGTAAGGGAATGCAGTACAGGAAGGCTCAGCTCAATTTGAGGAAGAAGTGTGGCTCTTAGTGATCTTGTGCTAGGGATGAGAAAATTCAGGAGAATTATTATTTTTTTAAAGATTTTATTTACTTATTTGATGCACAGAGAAAAGGTGAGCACAGCCCATAGAGGCAGAGGGAGAGGCAGACTCCCTGTGAGAGCACAGCCTGTAGAGGCAAAGGAAGAAGCAGACTCCCTGTGAGCAAGGAGTCTGACGTGGGGCTCCATCCCAGGATCCTGGGATCATGACCTGAGCTGAAGACAGACCCTTAACTGACTGAGCCACCCAGGCACCCCAGAATTATTTTTATAAATAGGCACCTCTGCTCTGAATTTAAGTTTTAATTTCATCCAACAATTCCATACATCACTCAGTACTCATCATAACAAGTGCACTCCTTAATCCCCATCACCTATTTAACCCATCCCACCACCGCTTGACTTCTACTTAGAATTCTGTTAATAGTATGAGATAGACCATGTGACTTTACGTACCTAATTGACATATATTGTTTTTAATCACTATATAATACAGGCTTTGGAAGCATTATAGCTTAATAATAAGCATCATAGGCTTTGTAATTGCACTTGTTTCAAATATCAGCTTTGCCACAGACTAGAATCATATCTTTGGACAGTTTGTTAAGCTCTCTGAATCTTAATTTTTTTTTAAGTTTTGTTTATTTAGTAATCTCTACACCCAACATGGGGTTCTAACTCATGACCCTGAGATCAAAAGTTGCACAACCTTCCAACTGAGCCAGCCAGGTGACCCTCTAAATCTTCATTTTCACATATGTGAAATGGATCTAATAATTCTAACTTCATATATTTAACTAGATTTAAATGACATAATATAGGTTAAATGCTTATTTAGCACATTGTGTGGCACCATAGTAAGCACTCAGTAAACAGTGGCTATTACATTAGATTTAACAGATGAGAACTTGTTCCAAAATAGTCACTATTCTATATATTGACAAATTGAATTTAAATAAAATATTTAAGTAAGAAAAAGAATAAGCTGCTGCCTTAAACTACATTTTCGTTTCATTTAAATAAATCTAATTCTTTAGACAGGTAAAAAAAAAAAACAAAGTAGTCACCGTTATGGGGTTTTACTGTGTTATTTAGCTGCAAATAAGTTATTTAAAAAGTTTGTTTCGGGACGCCTGGGTGGCTCAGCAGTTGAGCCTGCCTCGGCCTAGGATGTGATCCTGGAGTCCCGGGATCGAGTCCCCACGGGGCTCCCTGCATGGAGCCTGCTTCTCCCTCTGCCTATGTCTCTGCCTCTCTCTGTGTGTCTCTCATGAATAAATAAATAAAATCTTTAAAAAAATAAAATTGTTTCATTTCCTTTCTTGGAATAAAAAAAAAACACCCTTATTTAGATATTGAAATATATTTATTTTATAAATAAAAATGAGCTTGGATATGATGTATTTCTTAGGATATCAAACAACATGTTTAGGTACCTAATATTACTAGCCTTCTTCCCTTATTTTATGTATGTTCTCCTCCCCACGATCCTAGCTAGGGTCGTCCTAAAGGAAAAAAAATCTGAATAAACCCCAGATTTCATTATCTCTCTTCACTCATCTGATTTTTCCATTCTTTGCTTCATTTTAGTCCCTTATCTGAACCAAGGGCCAAGGCTGTGGCTTGAATAATTACCTCACATAAATGCGGCATGCCATTCAGAATATTACTTGCTCTGCTGAATCCAATATTCCTCTCTTACTAAGTTCTCTAGGGCTGAAAAGAATATGACTGTCTGGTAGGTAAATAAGGCTCTAATGAAACACGCATCCGAGAGAAGAGGAAAAAAAAATGTCCACAGAGCATGCCACATTAGGGATAAACTGAGTATCAGTTTATCTGTATAGGGATTCTGAAAGTGTCTTAGTAGAATACTCTTTTTAAAAAAATATTTTATTTACTTATTCATGAGAGATACACGGAGAGAGGCAGAGACATAGGCAGAAGGAGAAGCAGGCTCCCTTCAGGAAGCCTGATGTGGGACTCGATCCCAGGACTCCAGGATCACAACCTGAGCCAAAAGCAGACACTCAACCACTGTGCCACCCAGGTGCCCCTAGAATACTCAAATCAAATCAAATCAAATCAAAAGAACTGAGGTTTTGAAAAAAGCTGGTCACAAACATTAATAGTATGATCCTTACTTATCATAGAAGTCCAAAAAAAAAGTCCATGTCTAAATGTAGGAATGTATATCCCTAGAAAAATAATTTAAAGAGAGAAGTCCAAAAAAAAAGTCCATGTCTAAATGTAGGAATGTATATACCTAGAAAAATAATTTAAATATGTACCAAAATTTCCTGCTTTCTGGATTTTATTGACTGCATCACTGCAGTCATATTCCTCTGTATCTATATTTTCTTTCCATTGGCAGGTAGATCTAGAAGCCTAATCATATTCAAGTTTGATCTTTTTGGCAAGAATACTTAATTGGTAATGTTCCATATTTCTTGTTGCATAGCACTGGGTGATAAATAATGCCTGGTTGTGTCTTAAATTTTATTTTGAAGTAAATAATGCTCAAACATTCAAACCCAATCAATGAATAAAGATAAAATTTGTGGGATATGATATTTACTACAATTGTTAAGTTATAAAACAGTTACTAAATAGTAAAGTGATAGATCAAAATATGTATTTTGTCATCATAGATATCTATTCTACTGGAGAAGAGATCCTCGGAGCTATAAGTTAATATTCTTTATTTTTGTACCAAGCAAGTTCATACATTCTTTAATAATAGGATAATAGTGCTAAGACTAACTTAGTGGAAGAAGGTGCCACATAGTAAATATGGGGAGACAATGAATGGAGGTATTCCTTTTTGAATACTTACTCAAAATTACTTAGCATTCCTTTACAAAAGTTGTGGGAGAGAAAAGTAATTTATATGTGTTGTGGGGATTACTATTATCCAGTAAAGAAATGACTTACAGAGAGGAATTCAAAGAGTAAGACTGGTTGCTTTTTAGTCTTAGGAGTATGAATAGTGAGGACCTTCTAGGAATGAATGCTTGGGGATCCAATTTTTTGTCTTGTTTGGTTTTTTTTTTTTAAGCATCTTTTTTTTTTTTCTAGTACTGGCGCAGGGGGAGTACAAAAAAAATATCTGGTGTAAGGTGATAAATTCTTGTGGACAGTACACTGCCAAATTGATGGAATCAGTTTTAGAAATAACTTACAAAGTTTCATGTGTGATCACAAAAATTAGAGGGCAAAGGGTTTAACTATATAGACAGTCTAAATTATACTTAAAAGATAGTGGGCCCAGGGGATCCCTGGGTGGCGCAGTGGTTTGGCGCCTGCCTTTGGCCTGGGGCGCGATCCTGGAGACCCGGGATTGAATCCCACATCGGGCTCCCTGCATGGAGCCTGCTTCTCCCTCTCCCTGTGTCTCTGCCTCTCTCTCTCTCTCTGTGTGACTATCGTGAATAAATAAATAAAATCTTAAAAAAAAAAAAAGATAGTGGGCCTGGATGTCATCATAGAGGTCCCTGAAGATAAATGTCAAATAAGTAAAAGAGACAGAACACATATCACCAAGAATATTACAATTAGAATTTGTTAGTTCTGTAAAATGAAATTTCTGCACTCTGGTTACTACATTTCAAGAAAGATAACAATTGAGATGGAGAAGATCTGGGAAGGGGTAACTTACATGATCAAAGCAGTAAAGGAATTGCCATATGAAGAACAGGGTAAAAGATTAGTAAATTTCAGCCTAAGAAAATAGTGAATGAGATGGAATATGATTAAAGACTCTAAGACAGTAGTGAAAGAGGATTACAGATTTATCTCTAGATGATTATATAGTAAAACTATGGCATCTACTTTTTTTTTTTTTTTTTTTAGATTTTATTTATGTATTCATGACAGACACAAAGAGAGGCCCAGGGAGAAGCAGGCTCCCCACGGGGCAGCTGATGTGGGACTCAATATCAGAACACTGGGATCTTTTCAAAAAAAAAAAAAAAAAAAAAACACACTGGGATCACTTGCCCTGAGTGCAAAACAGATGCTCAATCACTGAGCCACCCAGGTGCCCCGGGCATCTACTTCTTGATACATGAAGGAGATAAATTTGGAACAAATAAAAATAAGTATTATTTTAGATAGCAAGTAAAAAACTGTTTGCAACTCATTTCCCTAAGAGGTAATAGAGCTAAACATGAATAACTTTAAAATATTGCATATTAGTAAATTAATATGGGAAATTAGAATGTTTTGAAATTAAGCCTTTGAAATTACTGTGATATGAGTCAGCGGGACTGACCAACAAGCTGTACCTTACTCCCCTGCTAGGAAAGAATACTGAGGGTAGATGAACAATATGTTTTGGGGGTAGGGTTTTTTGTTTTTGATTTTTTTTTTTGATTTTTTGGTTTTTAATAGTATGACAGGTTTTCTAATTATGAAGAAAGCCTAATATATTCTCTATAGGCCTAGACCCCTCTGTTAGTGTTGAGAACATTTTTTTGTTTGTTTGTTTGTTTTTGAGAACGTTTTGGACTGGAGTTCTTTTATAATATCAAAAATGGAAGATACGTGTTTGTTGCATTCTTTCTTTCAGACTTTGATACAGATTCCCTAAGGACTGCTTTTACTTACAAGCCAATAATATTAGTAAGACTCTAAACTCATTATCTTTTTTGTTTGTCCTCTCCTGCACAAATATTTTGTAATCCTTCAGTTATTACCTTGGCAGTAACAAGGAATTGGAATTGTTTTCATTTCCTTTTCCAGGCATGTGGAGACCTCTTGATGTTTTAGACTAAAGAGATTGCATGCAGATGGTTAGTTCTTTTCAATGTGCAGTTGTTTCTGGAAGGCAAAGGACTCTCAGGTGTCCCTGTCATAAATTTTGACAGTTTTTAAATATTGAGCCACAAGGTTATTAAGAATGATAATAATACCTCCTTAGGTTTTGTTTTGTTTTTATATTTTATTTATTTACTTATTTGAGGGAAAGATAGAGCACAAGCAAGGGGAGGAGCAGACTCCCTGCTGAGCAGGAAGCCCAACCTGGGGCTGGATCCCAGGACCCTGAGATCATGACCAGAGATGAAGGCAGATGCTTAACCGACTGAGCCACCCAGGCGCCACCCCGGCGCCACCCCCCCCCCCATTTAGGTTTTGGTGACTTTTATAAGATAAAAGATATAAAAGTTTTATAAGATAAAAGCTGATAATTTTGAAAGTTCTTCTTTTCTTTCTTTTTTTTTTTTTTTTTAAGATTTTATATATTTTCATGAGCCACAGAGAGAGAGAGAGACATAGGCAGAGGGAGAAGCAGACTCCCTTCTGGGAGCCCGATGCAGGACTCGATCCCAGGACCCTGGCATCATAACCTGAGCCAAAGGCAGATGCTCAACTACTGAACCACCCAGGTGTCCCTGAAAGTTCTTATTTTCAAATAGATAGTAAAAGCACATGATACAAAATGCAGTAAGTACAAAAAAGTATACATTGAAAATTTTTTCCCACCCAATTGCCAATTACTTTGTTCTCTTCTTAGGCTACCACTATTACCAGTATCTTGTATATTTTTCCAGAGATACTATATGAGTATACAAATGTGTGTGTGTGTATGTGTATTTTAAACACAAATACTACCATTTTTATATACACTGTCCTGTCACTTTCCTCACTGAAAATAAGTCTTGGTGATTGGGCAGTAAACAATCTAATTCTTTTTAACAACTACATGATATTTTGCCAAAATTTGTTTAACCAGTCCCTGGTGAGTTGTTTCTAGTCTTTCCCTATTATAAATAACACTTCAAAAAAAAAAAAAACTTCAGTGAATTTTCTATACATGTTTCATATACACGAGCCAATTATTTTCATAAAATAATTATTTCTCCCACCCTATGATATAAAATCTACATATATTATTCACAGACATTATAGTTAAGGGTCAGTATTTTATTCCTTTATTACAATAAAAATGAGATTCCATAATGTTGCATCCAAGTCATAATTTTCTAGTAGTTGAACACATAAAATGAATGATAAGAATTGCAGTTTGTGTTTTACTCTCTCATCTTTGCATTGAAGATTTTGGTGCCTCTGGTTTTGCTACAACAAATGCTTTTGGAGTTGACAAGACGTGGTCAAGAGCCTCTGAGTGCATTGCTACAGTTTGGTGTAACATATCTAGAGGATTATGCAGCAGAGTACATCATTCAACAAGGTGGCTGGGTATGAGCTGTTATGTATATTTTTTTTTCTTTAAAAAAAGGTTAAGCTTCTCATTGTGGTTGTTTTTAGCAACATAGGTTTAATATGAATATTATTTAATATTATCTAACATTGATTGCATGATCAGTGGCAAGACTATTCATATGGTTTCACTATTAAGATTTTACTTACAGCAAATTGATAGGTGTTTTTAAATAGTTCTTTTAAGAAGTTCTAATTATGAAATATTTTGTACTAACAAAAAATATTTAAATAATTAAAGGATAAGGAATAATAAAATGAATGCCTATATATTTGCCATTCCAGTTGAAGAAAAGAACAGAGCCAATACTTTTGAATCTTTTCATATGCCCTTTCTACATTTCAGCATGGTCTTACATACTTCACAAGTATAACTCCTGTTTTGGGTTTTGGTTTTTTATTGTAGTTTAATCATACATATATATGTATCTCAAGACAATACATTATTTTATATGTTTTGAGCTCTATGTGAATAATATACTGTGTATTCTTCTAAACTTTTTTTTTTTTCCACTCAATGTTGTTTATTCTTGAGACTCTCCTTGGTCATTGTTTCTCAAATTTTTTTTTATATCACTCCCTTAGGAATCCTGTTTATTTTTTAGGATCCTTTTTAGACATTTTTATCCTAATCATCTCCTTCCTCCCCCATGAAATTTTAATACTGCAGATAGAAGTCTATTTATGTACGTAACTGGTGCTGTTTGAAGGGTGGGCCACAAGTGATTATAAGATTTCCCCTATCTCACCAAACTATTCTCCCTCTCAAAATGATCGGCATTGAAAATACATGATCTGGGTTGATATATTGGTTGGTGTTTGGTATTCGATTGTGTAAATATGTAACAACTTATTTCTCTATAATCATATCAGTAGACATTTTCACCTTTTTGCTCTTATAGACATTGCTGTTCTCTGGTGATATACTTGGGAGTAGAACTTCTGAGTCCAAGGGTATAGATGTGTTCAGTTCACAAGATAATGCCAAGGTGTTTTGCAAAGTGGTCTTCCAACTTATACTCTGTCAGCAGTATATAAAAATATAAAAATTTTGGGGGGTGCCTGGGTGGCTCAGTCCATTAAATGTCTGCCTTCAGCTCAGGTTATGGTCCTAGGGTCCTAGGATCGAGCCCTATATCAAGCTCCCTGCTCAGTGGGAGCCTGTTTTTCCCTCTGCCTCTGCCTCTGCTCATGCACTCTCTCTCTCACTCACTCTGTCTCTCAAATAAATAAAATATTTAAAAATAAATAAATAAAAATAAAAATTTTTGTTCTTCATCTTCTCTAATACTTAATATTATCAGACTTCTTAATTTTTAAAATCATTTATGAAAATAAGATTACTTTTTTTTTTTTTTAAAGATTTTATTTATTTATTCATGAGAGACACAGAGAGAGGCAGAGACACAGGCAGAGGGAGAAGCAGGCTCCATGCAGGGAGCCCGATGTGGGACTCAATCCCGGGTCTCCAGGATCACACCCTGGGCCAAAGACAGGTACTAAACCACTGAGCCACCCAGGGATCCCAAAATAAGATTACTTCGTAATAGGCTTAGATTTATAAAAATGTTTTAAAGTTATAATGACTTATCACTTAGCCCCAACAGTTACTGACTCATTGCCAGTTATGCTTTATTCACACCCTAGTAATGTCTCTTTTTAATATTATTTTGAAGCAAAATTCAGGTATCATACAATTTTATGTATAAAAATTTCAGTATAGGGGTGCCCAGGTGGCTCAGTTGGTTGGGGATCTGCCCTCAGCTTGGGTCATGATCCCAGGGTCCTGAGATCGAGCCCCTCATTGGGCTCCGTGCTCAGCAGAGTCTCCTTCTCCCTTTCCCTCTGCCCCACCCTGCTCGTGCTCTCTCTCGCTATTTATTTATTTATTTTCTTTATTTTTTAAGATTTTATTTATTTATTCATGAGAGACCAGAGAGAGAGGCAGAGAGAGAGGCAGAGATATAGGCAGAGGGAGAAGCAGGCTCCATGCAGGGAGACCAATGGGGGACTAGATCCCAGGATCACACCCTGAGCCGAAGGCAGACACTCAACTGCTGAGCCACCCAGGCGTCCCTCTCTCGCTATTTCTCTCTCTCTCTCTCTCTCAAATACATAAATAAAATATTTAAAAATATTTCAGTAAGTAGGGAAGGTAAATGGAGGGATGAGCAAAATAAGTAAAGAAGATTAAGAATAAATTTATGAACACTGAGTACCATATAAAATTGAGTCGCTATATTGTACACCTTAAACTAATGTAACATTATACTGGAATTAAACCTAATATAACACTTAGTATACTGGAATTTAAAAAAAAAATTCAGGGGAATCCCTGGGTGGCTCAGTGGTTTAACACCTGCCTTCGGACCAGAGCGAGATTCTGGAGTCCCAGGATTGAGTCCCATGTCGGGCTCCCTGCATCGAGCCTGCTTCTCCCTCTGCCTGTGTCTCTGCCTCTCTCTCTGTGTGTCTCTCATGAATAAATAAATAAAAATCTTAAAAAAAAAAAATTCAGGAGTGTGTCAGTGGCTCAGTTGCTTGAGCATCTTACTCCTTTTTTTTTTTTTTTTTAGCATCTGACTCTTGATCTTGGCCTGGGTGTTGTTGATCTCAGGTTTAGGGGTCCAGGCCCCTCATCAGCCTCTACACTGGGCATGGAACCTACTTAAAAGTAAAAAAAAAAAAAAATTTTTTTTCAGTTATGTATCACTAAAAAATAAAGGTTTTCATTATTTTTATTTTTTTTAATTCTTATTTTTATTTTTTTTTAAGATTTTATTTATTCATGAGAATATACAGAAAGGAGAGAGAGAGACAGAGACACAGGCAGAAGGAGAAGCAGGCTCCATGCAGGGAGCCCAATGCGGGACTCGATCCTGGGTCTCCAGGATCATGCTCTGGGCCGAAGGCGGTGCTAAACTGCTGAGCCACCCAGGCTGCCCGGTTTTCTTTATTTTTAATCACACTACCATTATTACATCAAAAAAATTAAAAATGATTTCATATCCTTAGATATCCTGTTAGCATTCAGATTTCTAAGTGTCTCAAAAGTATCCTCTCTTTTGGATATGAAGGTGATCTGGCTATGACAGCTGTCACCCTACTGATTGCCAGGTTTGATTTGACTGATCTGGCTGGCCAGCAGGTATCCTTTCTCCTTCAGCACTCCATGTGCATTCTTCTTGAGGACAACTTTGGTCAAAGAGGACAACCTTCCCTGATAGAGGAGGACTGTTCTTCCATCAAAGGTTTAGGAGTAGTTTTACTTCCCTGCTACAACCTCAAGACAGGCTCTGTTGGTCCATTTATAGAAGAACATAGGGTAGTCAAGCTTCTAAGACTCCAGACAGATCCAGATGAGGTGCTGCATGTGGCAATCTGCCTTTCTTCTTTTTCTTTTTTTTAAAAGATTTATTTATTTATTTGAGAGACAGAGCATGAGCTGAGGGGAAGGGCAGAGGGAGAAGCAGACTCCACTGAACAGAGAGCCTGACTCAGGGCTCGATCCCAGGACTACCTGAGCCAAAGGCAGATACTTAACCCAGGTGCTCCCAGACTGCCTTTCTTTAAAAACAAAAAAAAACAAAAAAAAAACAAAACAAACAAACCAAAAAACCTCTCTTTTAATCTTTTTTTTTCTCTCTCTTTTAATCTTTACAATGTATGAAGTTGTATCTCCCTTTTAACTTTGGTTATTATTTCTTAATTTCTTTCTAGTTTTTGGCTTAAAATAGTTTTTTATAGCCTGGCATATTTGTGTGTTCATGTGTCCTTTGTTTTTGTTTTTGTATTTTTAAGTAAGCTCTAGCCCCAACGTGGGCCTGAGCTTATGGCCCCAACATCAAGAGTTGTATGCTCTACTGAGTTAGCAAAGTACTCCTCTTTTCTTTTTTTTTTTTTAATAACTATAAATTCAAACTTAGGGAAGCTTTCCTTTGTCTTGAAAAACAAAACAAAGTAACAGAGCCTTTATATCATTTGCTAATATGATTTCATTTTTTTTAACTTTATTTTATTTATTTATTATCCTTTTTTTTTTTTTAGAGACTGAGAGGGAGAGCGGGTAAGGGGCAGGGGGAGAGGGAGAGAGAGAATCCCAAGCAGTCTCTTCTACGCCCAGCATAAAGCCCCCATGGGGCTTGAACTGAAATCAAGAGTTGGAGGCTTTCTTTTTTATAAGATTTTATTTATTTATTCATGAGAGACACACAGAAAGAGGCAGAGACATAGGTAGAGGGAGAAGCAGGCTTCCTGGTAGGGAGCCGGAATTGGGACTTGATCCCAGGACCCTAGGATCATGCCCTGAGTCAAAGGCAGATGCTGAACCACTTAGCCACCCAGGCATCCCAAGAGTTGGAGGCTTAACTGAATGAGCCACCCAGGTGCCCCTTGTTCTTTTTGTTTATGTTCTTTTTGTTTTTAAGATTTATTTATTTATTAGAGAGAGAGCGAGCATGCACGTGCACGGCAGGAGGGGTAGAGGGAAAGGGAGAGATTCACAAGCTGACTCTGTGCTGAGCTCAGAGTCCGATGCAGGGCTGGATCCCATGATGTGGAGATTATGGCCTGAACTGAAATCAAGAGTCAGATGCCTTACCAACTGAGCCACCCAGATGCTCCCTGATTTTGTTTTAAGAAAGACGTGGTATTATATTGCAAAAGTAAGATTTATACCATGAATTATGCAGTTCTAAATCTGGTGTCACTAAAAGTAGACAATAGCATTGTTGCCCAAATTATAATCTGTTGATGGTGTTTGGGGGAAAAGAAATTTCCTTTCCACCTGGTTTCCTTTTTCCTCATATTCAAGAAACAGAATGGAAACTGAAGTGGAAACCCTGGTGGATGGTTTCAGGCCTGCTGGACCAGTCAGACATGCAGTCTATACTTTCCTTTAAAGCATCAACTTCTTTCTTTTCTTTTCTAACTTGTGACTGAGAGTTATGGTCTGTGCTGCTGTGCATTTCTACATTAAA